AGCCCGGTGCGGCGAAGGAACTCGGTTATAAGAGGGTTGAGGGGGAAACGGAGGCCCCCTTCAACGATTAAGAGGACGGTGAAGGGGTATTGGTCAACTCTTCCCCAGGGTGTGGTCTCCTCTTCAGCCAGTTCGAGATGAACATCGGTCGGGATGCCGTAATCCTCTCTGAAAGCAGCTAGCGCGGCCGGAGTATCCACTAGGAAGCGGAATTTCCCCATTTGTGGCCGGCTTAGTGTATCCCGGCTGAGGGGTTTGGCACTGGTTATTGGATGCTGCTCGGTCCTGAGAGCCTCAGGAATGACAGTGGTCCCCTTAGACTCTGCAGGAAAAGGATGGCAAGTGTTAAGTGTTAGCGCGGTCGCGCAAAAGGAGCTGGATTTTAGCTCGGTCATTTAGGGTGCCAAACCACCTCGGTTGTTTATTCTATCTAAGGAGCCCGGTCGCCCAAGCAGACCAGATGTTAGCCCGGTTGAGCGACCAAGTCCTTTTGATTATCTCGGTTTTTGCTGGGTTTGAGACAAACATGTTATTTGCTCGGTCAGGTTGGTTTTTTGGATCAAAAGAAGACCAAGAGCCCGGTTCACTCCAGTTCTTCAGTGTTCTTCAGGAAGAAGAAGAACACCAAGAACAGAGGGAGGTTTAGTACGGATTCTACGACCTATGCCCTAATAGCTATGTTTTTGTGCCCTAATGTGTGTAATATGAAAGAAAATAGCAACCAAATGGAGGAAGGAGGACTCACCAGTGAAGGGCAGTGTCGAGTCCCGCGAGCACAAAGAATGGCAGACGAGTCAATGGCAAGAATGCTAGAGCTCTGGAGTTAAGAGACGAAATAGCAGTAGGAAGAAATGGCTTGAGGGGGGTGATGTATATGTAAGTACGAAAGGCCGCCCAAATTCAAAAATCTGGCAAAAACGACGGGTTAGCTGCCCGATGACCAATGGCAGCCCGCCATGTGTCCCCATTTATGGCGACGTCAGGACTGAAGCGACGGGTTGAAGAGTCGAAGAGCCAACCGAGGTACTTTCGAAGGAACAGATGTCAGCCGAGAAGTATAACCGGGCAGGTTTGTGGACAGTTATGTTAACTAGCTCGGTTCCCCTTTGGAATTTTGGAGGACGGGGAAGTGTTATCTTGGTCGAAGAGAATAATCCCAGTCACGCTTTCGCGGATGGAATTAAGGGGCAATTGAGAAGGTGATTTATGATCAGGAGTTGGGCCGAGGTAACGGCCGAGCAGATTGAGAGCCCAACGGTGCATGGGGCCGAGATGATTGACCATCCGCCAAGAAATGGGCTGCCAGAACCTGGGCCGGGCAGAACTTGGGCCAAGCGTGAGCCGCCCCGACCCAAGAAGGAGCTTGACTAGATAGCGCTTGGTTGGACCGAGCTGCCTGATCAGGGGATGGCTGAAGCCAGACAAGCTGAGTGACCGGCGCCCGGTAAGGCGTGGTCAACCGAGGAGACTGTTTGACCGGCAGGAAGGCCGACCAAAGGAGGTACCCGGGCTAGGCTTTGTCGGGATGCCGCCTAGCCCGGTCCTCCATGTGTTTATCCGGTTAGGCGCATGGGTATGAAGCATGGCATGGCCGTGGTAGAGCAGCTCGGCTGCCGAGCTCCAGCTGTGAAGTCAGGCAGTTGAGATTAGGTGATGTTCAGCAAGGTCTATGCTGACAGATGGGATAGCAGAGCCACGTGTCAGGAGATGACTGGGAGTGGGTAAGGGGCTCAGAAGGTATATAAGCATGTCTGCGCCCCCCATACGCGACACACGAACATCTCTGTAAGGAATTTTTACACTCAAACACTCTCTCCCTTCTCTCTATCCATCCTAAGGTGTGTGCTAACTTGATCGTCAGAGGGTTTTTCTGGCCACACACCGCCGGGTAGCTCACCGTTACTTGCTCGCAGGTGATCGGACATCGACGGAGCTCGGAAGAAAGGAGTACGGGCTTGCCGGAATATTTGCTCCCCGTACATTAGTCATGTGAATAACTTTTTATATAAAGATACCCTTTTCATGCAAAATTTTTCACAATAGTATCATTTTTATAAATAAATTCATATTTATGAATTATAGCTATTTTGTTTTAAAATGAAAGCTCCATATATCAAACCACATTATACTAAACTTTTTATTTATAAATCATTACTTGGTATACCATATAACAATATTGATACTTTAATAACAATGGCTTTATATTTATCTATTTTTTAGAAAAAATATATTTATTATATGTGATTTTTAATTATGTATCAACCAATGTTTTGAAAATCGGACTGAACTAGTCGGTTCGACCGGTTGAATTGTCGACTAGTCTATGGTTCAGTTCGGATATACCCTCTAATCCGTTCCTTTTTGAAAATCGATCATTTTAAACTAAATTGGTGTGAATCGCGGTTAAACCACTAGACCGGATGAACCGGCAAGGGACTTGAATCCAATGCCTTAAGCTCCAAAGAGTATGACCATGATTCCTTATTAATATATAGAAAATATATAATATTAATTGTATTCAAACTAATTTCCTTCAAACATATGTATAATTAATATTTTTACAAACAATATTAATATAAAAATATAAATAAACAAATATGTTTGATGAATATATATATTAAATTATAAAAATATTCATAAAATAATTATGATATTACGGTTTGATTCCGGTTTAACTCGACGGTTGAACCAATAATCCATCTACCCAATCTCTTTTTCAGTTTACTCACCGGTCTGTTTTTAAAATATTGGTATCAAACAATAAAAACGTCAGCCTTAGTCACCCAAAATAACTACTTTGAAAGATATTTTATTCCATCATACCGAACTCGAACAAGCAAACCGGAGGTCGATTCATTCATGAGATCATCAACAACACTCGGGTTAATCTACTTTCACGCAATTCCCAATCCAAAGTCGTTGAGTTTAGATTCATCTTCTTCTCCACATAATCATATATGACATTGCTACACAAGTTCAAACATTAGACTTAACTTTCAAACTTAATGATGGATAATATTCTCTTTCATATTTTTTAAATTATAAACCAATCATATAAATTACATATCATTGAGTTTAAAAAATAAATTTAAAAAAAAAGTAGATTTCTATATCATTTTTCATTATATATATATATATATATATCTATATCTATCTATCTATATTATTATACTTAGTGTTAAAGGGATATGAGTAATGTTTAAACCTAAGATTATGGGTTTCTTACTTATCTGAATCATCTTGTGCTTTTTACTTATCTGAATCATCGTGTGTGCTAGTATATATATATATATATATCCACACAAGAACTCGAATCATTCTTCGCCATTGTTGTGCTTGATTTGATCTTGGAAATGACTCTTACTCTCTTCAATTCAATCTTCCAACGGCTCACCTCCTGGTGGCCTCCTCCGCCGCCATTGCTCTACGTTGCCACATGGACGGCGGTTCTGACGGTAACTGTGGTGGTGGCATCGTTTTGGTCGGAGGCAGCGTTCGTATCGGCGATCTCTTGGAAGTCTGTATTATCTCGGGCATGTGAGAGGGAGGGGTTGGTTAGGGTTCCGATGGATGTTCCAATAGAGGTTCTGTGCTTCCTAGTTCAGATGTTCCGGCAGCAGTCTAAACTGCTGGACCTGTTGGCTCCTCTGGTTTTTGCGGCGGTCATCGTCGGCGCCTCGGCTTTGGTTGTCCGAGCTTGGGGGTTGTGGGAGGTTGATGACAATGATGAGACACATTGAAGACCTTGGAGCTCAACTAAATCTATCACGGTTAATTCACAGTGTAATATTGGGATCTAAAGCCTTAGTTTGAATTTGTATTTTGTATGAATTGAAACTGTTGGCACCATAAATCTGCAATTTTTATTATTATTTATTATTTATATAATTGCAGGACATGTGGCATCCTCCTACTCATTTGGAAGTTATGAGAAGTTATGAAGGCATGGAGGGTTATGTGGCATTATGGGAATGAAGATGGAAGAGTGAGTAGTTTTAAGTGGTTATTGGATAGTTATTGCTGGAAGTTTTGTCCTACAAATATTTGTCTATAAATAGCCATTTATGGCTACATTGTAAGGATCCAGAATTCATAATCAAAGACGATTGATTTCAATATTTCTTGTCATTTTCCTTATCTTAGGAGTAGTTTAACATAGATTTATATTTCGAAGCATTTATTTTCAGCATTTCCATTTCGAAGCACTTTATGCACTTCCTTTTCGAAGCATATGAGTAGAGGTAAGTAATTATTAAGTTGATTGTTCACTCAATCGTCTTTCTCCATCTCCCTCATTCTTCTTTTAATTTTTCTTTTCTCTACACTTGGCAATCTTGAAGTCCTCTTTGTTGAGGCAAAAGAACCATCAAAGCAATCGCTTGATAATTGGTTTGAATTTAATCTGTAAGGATTTTTCTATCCTTGCTGGCACGCTCGCATTTATGATATTTTCCTTCGTAGGAAAAATAAGCCAACAACTTTTGGCACGCCAGGTGGGACGTCAAGTGTAATAAATGAAAAATAAATTGGATTTGTCCATTTCAAATAGCGTACATGAAATTTATTGGCGTAAACAAGAAATTTTGGATCTTCAAGAAGAGATCCATTTTCTTGATGAAATAAATTTTCATCCCTTACAATATTATTTGGTGGAAGAAAAAAGACACCATTTAATTGGAGAAATTCAGAAACTTGATATAGAAATTCGCCAATGGAATAATGAGTTATCAACCCTCATTACCAAGTCTTTAACTGAGGCCTTAATGGCCGGAATTGATGAATTTTTTCAGAATTTTTCCATGGTTAAAAATAGCAAAAGCAAAGGGTTGATTTCATCAATGACTCGGGAGGTTCAAGAGTCCGTTTTTAAAGAGCCAAATTATGAAATTAACATAACGAAAGAGCATATTCTTGAGCCAAATTTGGCTAAGAATGATGTTCCATGCATGGCTCGGGGGGTCTCAAAACCAATTTTTAGAGAGTCAAGTCATGAAAATAACATATCTATGGGTGATTTTCATAAGCCATTAATGGCTAACGTGGAAAAACAACCCACTTTGCCAAATAATTATGAAAATCTATTCGGCAAAAGTCATGTTTTTAAAACAAACATGATCAATAATAATGAACAAGCCACTGTTCATGAATTCAAATTTTTTGACATTTTTCAAAATGTCAAAAAGTATGAATTTTCATGGTCACACTATACCATGCCTTTTGTTGTTCGAAATCCATTTTGGATTTGTGGATCACATCAAACCTTGACTTTGATGGAATAGCTAACAAATAATATTTCGTTATTGCAATATATTGAGCCAAAAATGTTGTTATTAGTTGATCCATAAAACCATCACCATTTGGTTTTGTGGTTACCTTCGAAGCATGTCTCAAGACACTTCGAAGTAGATTATTCATTGAAATATCATTTTATAGCCATTAATGGCTAGTTAAAATGCCAAACTAATTTCATAATAATCCAACTCTTTGGATTTAGTTCGAAGAGATGTCGTGAGCACTTTCGAAGGACGGCTTTAATCCTATAGTAACATATGTGACTTTCGAATGGTGGTTTTGTTATCAATAAACACCTTCGAAATGTAACATGGGGTGAGAAAACTTTCGAAATGTGTATCTCTCTTCAAATATATGTAAAATGGCAATTAATTAGTTGTCGAATAATGCCTATTTTTGGCATGATAAGTTGGTTTGAAGAACAACAGTTTTGGTGTCTTCGAAGAATTAATAATTGGTTCGAAGCTCAAAATTAATATTTTCATTAATTATGTATGAACCAGAACATACAAAATTTGAATAACCACAATGTTGGCCAAAAGTTACTTCGAAGGCCCTTTTGCCATAATTTTGTAAGCTTCGAAGCACTCCATCTTGCATTAACAGTTTCAAAGAAACAATAATGGTGGTTGTGAACCTTCGAAGCTTTGCCGAATATTTCCAAGGATGTAATTTGTCCTTTGTCGGCACTTTCAACCTTCAAAAGATGATTTTGGTCCTTTATACCACCTTCGAAGCTTGTTACTAGTCCATAATAGCTAGCATTCGAGACATCTAGTCATAATTTCATACTCATTCGAAGCACTTCATTGGTGCTATTATATTATTCAAAGCACTTTGTTGATATTATTCGATGCACTTTATTGCTTAGATTAGTCATGTGCTTGGTTTGACCCTTCAAAAATTCTAATAAACATCATTTTTAACGGCCGCGGGGGGTAATGTTGGCACCATAAATCTGTAATTTTTATTATTATTTATTATTTATATAATTGCAGGACATGTAGCATTCTCCTACTCATTTGGAAGTTATGAGAAGTTATGAAGGCATGGAGGGTTATGTGGCATTATGGGAATGAAGATGGAAGAGTGGGTAGTTTTAGGTGATTATTGGGTAGTTATTGTTGGAAGTTTTTTCCTACAAATATTTGTCTATAAATAGCCATTCATGGCTACATTGTAAGGATTCAGAATTCATAATCAAAGACAATTGATTTCAATATTTCTTGGCATTTTCCTTATTTTAGGAGTAGTTTAACATAAATTTATATTTCAAAGCATTTATTTTCAGCATTTCTATTTCGAAGCACTTCATGCACTTCCTTTTCGAAGCATAGGAGTAGAGGTAAGTAATTATTACTTTGATTGTTCACTCAATCGTCTTTCTCCGTCTCCCTCATTCTTCTTTTAATTTTTCTTTTCTCTACACTTGGCAATCTTGAAGTCCTCTTTGTTGAGGCAAAAAAACCATCAAAGCAATTGCTTGATAATTGGCTTGAATTTAATCTGTAAGTAGATGCAGGAATCCTTCAAAGTGTTTATATTGTGTCATACCCCTTTTGACAGATTCAGAACCACAACACTATGCAGCCCAACTGAATTCATAAACAAAACAGCTGAATCAACTCCTCTGCCTACCAACTTAACCCTTCAACAACATCAACTCAATGCAGCCCAACTGAAATCATAATAACAGCTCCCGCCACCACCGATGCTCTCAAAACCATAAGACAGAGACCAAGGTCCGATCCAAACAAGTATCCACAAGAGCAGCCGAATCATCAAAAACACATCAGAGATGTTTTCACATTGCAGTAGGCAGAGTTCCAAAATGATGGTTCAAAACCGCACACACCTGCAAGTCAGAGGTAAAAAATAAAAAATAAAAAGTCCATCAGAATTTTTCTAAAAATTGCCAAAACTTGAATATTTATTGAATATAGATACACGTATTTACTAAATACGATATGTACAAGCCTAGTCACGACGGGGACGCAATGGGTACCCCTAATCTATGTGACTTGGTCATTACGGTATTTTGAGTGTACAAAAACACTTCACAACAAAAGTCTACCCAATTAAATTTAAAAAATATATATATATATATATATATTTTTTAAATTTAATTGGGTAGACTTTTGTTGTGAAGTGTTTTTGTACACTCAAAATACCGTAATGACCAAGTCACATAAATTAGGGGTACCCATTGCGTCCCCGTCGTGACTAGGCTTATACATATCATATTCAGTATATACGTGTATTCATATTCAATAAATATTCAAAACTTACACATTAACATTTTTAAAGTACTCATATTTTGTAGGTGTTCATAAATTAAATTCATTTGATTTCAAAACAAATTAGAGATTGAATCATTCCTCATTAAAATCGCAACTAATATATAATTAGACATGATATATCACTCCTAACTAATCATTGGTTTGGTTTGGTCTATAGTTCTTAAAATAATATATAACTGAATATGATATATATTTTACAATAATGTTATATTTCTTAATTTATCACTCCTACATGATCCTTAGTGATATGGCATTGAAGTTAAACCCTTACACGATGGAATGTTTGACAAATCAAAATTTGATACTTGTCAGACACATCATTAATTTAGGGATAATTTTTAAAAATAATAAATTACGTGTCTCAAATATTTTTCTATATCTTATTATAAAATATAAACTATCAACAAGTAACTCAATTCCATAAATTGGTATTTGAATCTTGCTAGCCAATGCATTTTTGTTCTTACATATAGAAATATCTAAAAATAATAAATAAATACATCACTCTTCGAATCGGTTTAGAATTATAATTGAAACCTTAAAATCGCAAATCGAATTTACTGAGTTAATTTAAACAGTTCCATCATTTGGTGTTCAAAAAAAAATAAAATAAAATAAATTCCACCGTTTTATGAAATTGGTACCATAACCAAAACTAATTAAATCCGGAATATATCAACACTTGGATCGAATTGAATTGATTACTTATTTATTTATTTGAATTCTACTAGTTTTTTTTATGAATACTCCTAATTACATCCATATATAACTCTTACAATCATGAAGCAAATGGCTCAACAGAAACCATATGACCAACAAAGGGCTAACAATACCTTGTGAAACAACTCAAATATTGAAATCAAACAATGAGAAACACACACACACACACACACACACACACATACATATAATTTAAATTTTCTAAGCTGAATTAACCAACTGGTTGCTGAAATCCCAAAGTTCTTGGCTAACACCTTGTCTGTGGTAAACTTGCTCGGTGGCCCCTCATTGCAGCCAAGAAAATACTTTCCAGTTACACCTTTCAACTTGGGGTGAAGTGCCACGTAATATGTTGTGGCTGCTCCCTGAAGAAAAAAAAAAAAAAAACTTAAAAAATGGAAATGAAAAAAAAAAATTGGAAATGGAAC